GCGGCGAGGGGCGGGCGGGGGGGGGGGGGAACAGACCAATGTTCCATGTGGCTATATGCTGCCCATGGGCTGCATGTTCCTCACGCCTCCCTTAAACAAGCAAGAGCCTTGTGTGTATGGCTTAAAGTGAAGATGCATCTCGTTTTCATCAGCTGCCTTATACTGGGCCAGTCGCTGACCTACGTAGCCTGTATTGTATGACACTGAATGACACCTGCCTATCTAGGGTCTCAAGTAAAGGTCTTTTCCTGCACAACCACCTGAGATGCCGGTCTTCACCAAGCTAGTGCCATCATGTTGTGTTGAGCTCCACATCTGGAAGACATGAGGTTTGATAGCGCTGTTGTGTCCAGAGCGCTTGGGGACTGAACTTCTTGTTAATACAAAGCAGAGTCCTTCTTTGAAGCCTAAAGTTTTGAGTGAATTGTAGGAGCACAACAACACATGTCACATATGTTATTTAGCAAAAAATATTACTATTAATGTTTCTGTTGCTGTTGCTGTTACTATACTGCTACTGCTACTACTATTAGTACTACTACTACTACTACTACTACTTAGTAGTGGTGGTGGTAGTGGTGGTGGTGGTGGTAGTAGTAGTACTATAGTAACAGCAACAGCAACAGTAACTACTACTTAGTGGTGGTGGCAGTGGTGTTGCTGTTGCTGTTACTATACTACTACTACTACTACTGCTACTACTACTATTAGTACTACTACTACTTCTTAGTAGTGGTGGTGGTAGTGGTGGTGGCGGTAGTAGTAGTAGTAGTACCACTACCACCACCACCAGTAGTAGCAGCAGAAGCAAAAGCAGCAGAAGCAGAAGCAGCAGCAGCAGTAGTAGTAGTATCATTGTCCAGTGGTGGTGGTAGTGGTGGTGGCGGTAGTAGTAGTAGTAGTACCACTACCACCACCACCACTACTACTACCTAAGTAGTAGTAGCAGCAGCAGCAGCAGCAGAAGCAGCAGCAGCAGCAGCAGCAGCAGTAGTATCATTGTCATCTCCTCCTCCTTTTCCTTCTTCTTAATCCTCATCTCACGCTTTTCCTACCAGAGGCTGGACATAATCGTGACTATTCTGGTTTAATCCTGAAGGAGTTTTCTTTGTTCTTCAGATAGTCTAAACCTGCTTTTGCAGCAAATCTTGGTGATTTTGTAGAAACAATGACGAAGATTGCCTGTTCCATTTCATTTAAAGTTAATTTTCTGGAAAAGTATATTGCTGCTCCAGCCTCTGTTTAGACAACCAGACTAAAATATCCATCTGTTTGGAATTACATAGGAAGTCAGACTTTCTACCTGGAACATACAGATGACATCCTCTGCCTAACCGTCAACCAGCACCCAAAGTATAAAAACGTTGTGGCCACCAGCCAGATTGGTAGGTTCATTGTCGAATTAAAATAATGGAATTTTGATTGTTCTCTGTTTACATATTGGAATATAAAGATGATCAGTGTTACTCTCCCACATTACCTCTTTCAGTTGTATCAAAAGTGTGTAGCCCCTTCAGCCCCAGGACCCTTTCCCTATGACATCTTGTTCCAGCTTGGTTCCTTGAAGCTAAAATATGCCATCGTTTTTTATTCTATTGTTTTCCTCTGACCCAGCTGGAATATGACTTCTCCATCCCAAGATAACTTTTCTGAAGACGAATCAACATCTTAAACTGAAAGAAGTTTCCAGTACTTGAGCATCATAATTCTGAATTCAGTATTAGGAAACCATCTAGTTGGGATAATTTGTTTATAGATAACTGTATTGCAAAAAATGCAGCAGTCCTTTAGGATCTGAGGGAAACATCTCACCAGCCTGGTTACTTTTCTTGTTTTTAATCATCTGACGTGTTTGGCCATTTGAGAACTGACTGCTATGTGCGAAGCATATACTCTGCCTCTGAGCTTCCATATTTTATCTTAACAAAGCTAGGGTAACATCAACACAAGCCCAATTTTATTGTCTTAAGGAAGCTCTGGATATCAACTGTTGGTATGGCATTGCTATAGCTCCCATAGTGTGATATTTTCTCGTTAAATTGGCTGCATGGTGCTGCAATCAGCGTTCTGCCTTAGTCCATATTTCTGTTGAGATCCTTTGTTTATAGATAATGATCATCTTTAGTGTGACATCCATTTAGTTTCTGCTGGTGAATGTTTGCTTAGGCTCGGTCATAAAACTTTTGCAAAGGGATTTCTCCGTTTTCACCTATGCTTGTTCTTTGGGAATGTAAATCTAGTGAGAATTCCTGAGCATAAGACTTCTGACCTAGTGGAACCTTTCTAATGGATGGATTAGAAAAGAGGAAAACTCACCAACTCCTCTCTTCTTTTATCATCCCTCACATCTCCCTGAAAACCAGCTTTGTGAAGTTAGAGAGCTTCTGAAACACCAGGGGTGCTGATGCTGGAGACTACAAAAGGAGTAGCAATCAGTAAAAATTGCCTTTTCCAGTGTTGATATAAGTGGAATTATATCTGACCAGAACTTTGCTCAATTCACCTTCTGGTGAAACAAAAGCTTGGATTCAACCCAATGTTGTTAATACTGTATTTAATTGAGCATTTTTACAATATGCAAGGAAGCACAACTAACTATGTAGCCTTGGTTGATAGTCAGGTTAGCCAGTACAGTGGGGTCTCTACTTAAGAACTTAATCCATATTGGAAGGTGGTTCTCAAGTTGAAAAGTTCTTATGTTGAATCTGCATTTCCCATAGGAATGCATTGAAAACCGTTTAATCCGTATCTGCTCTTTTCCGTCCATAGAAATTACAGTGGAACCTCTACTTAAGAACTTAATCCGTTTTGGAATGGTGTTCTTAAGTTGAAATGTTCTTAAGTTGAAGCAAAATTTCCCATAGGAATCGACTGAAAACCAATTAATCCGTTCTGGCTGTTTTTTTGTTATGTAGAGGTGCGTTCGTACATTAACCAAAGCTGGTTAATACGTACTCTATCACTATGGGGAGAATTTTTTTTTAACCTAAGATGACCTAAGGTTAAAAAAAGAGCAGGAAAGGTTTTTTTTCCTGTTCTTATCTTGGATTTCTGTTCTCAAGTAGAAGCATAATTTAGCAAGTGGAGCTGTTCTTAAGTTGGATTGTTCTTAAGTAGAGACGTTCTTAAGTCGAGACCCCACTGTAGCTACATAAAAGTATCCCAGGCTTCATAGGTCGTAAAGCAGCCTTCAGAACTATGGTATCACAGTTGGCGGTGATGCAGTACTTGGGAAACTGTTGGTAGCATTTAATAATTTCAAGCATTTAGCTTGGAGCTGAATACAAAGTAAAATAGGATCTGGTTAGGTTCTGATGAAACCGGAACCTTGTTTCGCCTTAAGGTCCCCAGCCTTTTGAAAAATGGTTCCCAACCTTTATTTCCTCTATTTGTCTTAAACTTGGTAATGAAAAATATTGACATTGATCTTAAGAGGAATCTGTTGCTTAGAGGAGAGCATTGCCAAATTTGGCTTCTGATCTCCTTGCCACTGGGAATGCAAGTGTCACGCCTTTATCAGCCTTCCCTGGAATTTCAGGTCAAAACCCATCACCAAAAGAGAGAATTCCTTAACTGCTGAAAGTACCTGAGTTAACGGCAGGAGCTTTCCCGCCACATCTAATCTGCATATTACCTTGCTTCATTTTGTGCTTGGTCTTCAAGATTTAAGCACATAATTTCTTTTTGGTCTGATTTCTCAAACCCAAAAGCTTCCGTGAATTATGTCTTTCCAACACGGTCATGGTTTAACTGTGGGCTATTTGTAATGTCTGTTTTGGCCCTCATTCTCAGAAGTGGTAGCCACATCTGGACAGTGGTTGATTTTTTTTTTAGGTGTCATTAGAAAAGCATTATATTGGATAAATAACTCAAAAATATTCCTGCCTTTATTTTGTTTTGTTTATTTATTTTTAATCCATACTCATGTTGGATTTGCTTTTTTAATTTGGTAACGCCTTCTGGTGCTGATGTTGAGTGCTTCAGCATTAGAAACATTGACTTATTTCAGCTATTGTTTTCCCTTGGTGCTTTCTCATTTGCCATTGCCCTCACCCTGCAGGTGATATGACAGAATTTCCAGGTAAGGCTGTTCCCTCCCATCGGTCTTTGTCAGCAAAGTCACGTCACCACCTTTTCATACTCCTCTGTTGTATCAGTGTCAACTGCAGATACGAGTCCAACATCAACAGATGAGTTTTTGTCTCATTTTTTCCATGACTTTGTCTGATAATTTTTTGAGATCATCTCTTCTTTCTTTTAGAATTTGTCTTATGACATAAAGTCTAGTATTTCTCCCCAGCTCTCCATGTTTGTTCCATGAGTTCTTATTATAATTCTGTGTGACCTTTAACCTTGGGGAAAGAGAGGGTTGTCTCTATTTGTCTGTTTTTACTTTTAATGATTCATGCCTTCCTCTGAAGATCCTTAATTCTACTCCTTTCCTCTTTTTAAAAAAAAATGCCTATTCAGGTACAACACCTTCTATCCACGTATGGGATGCTATGACTAAGCAGACCTTGTCTATGTTGCGTTGCTTTCATTCCAAAGGTGTGAACTATGTCAACTTTAGTGCTACTGGCAAACTCCTAGTGTCTGTAGGAGTTGACCCCGAACACACAATCACAGTCTGGAGATGGCAGGAAGGTGAGTTTCAGTCCTCATTCTTTCTAAAACAGTGGTTCCCAACCTTTTTTACACGTGCATACCCTTGGGAATTCCTGTGTCCATATTAGCAAAATTTTGTAATTAGTATGGTTGCTAGACTCACAGGACTGACTGAAGTGCCCACTTATATATACACTGGTACCAGTGCAACAGCGCTCAGAGAGGAGAAGAGTGAAAGCCAAACCTGTGATGAGTGCTGCACTAAGCATGCAAAAATGTGTTGCTGTTGTCAAAATAGCCAAGTGAGAGCCCGGGGCTTTTCTCGAGATGAAATAACAAAAAAGCCTCACGCCACCATTCACCATAACATTCAGTTAGTTTGACAACTTTTGACTTCTATCTTGTCTTCCATGGTTGATGTATGTGCCCCTTTCTACCATTATTTACTGTATTTTTCGCTCCATAAGACGCACTTCTCCCCCCCCAAAAGTAGGGGGGAGAGTCTGTGCATCTTCTGGAGCGAATACTGGCTTCCCATCGCCACCACGCTGCCCTTCTCCTCTCCTTCCCAGGCAGGGAGCGCTTCCGGATAATGAGCTGGCTGGGGCGGAGTTTTATTTTTTGTTACTCTAATTTATTTTAAAGAAAACAAGTACCGTTGCCGTATTTTTCGCTCCATATGCCCCCCCCACCGCCAGTATTTTTTACCCTCCCAACTTGCCCAGTGATTGAGACAAATCTTCTTTGGCTTCCCATCACCGCCATCACGACCACACCGCCCTTCTCCTCCCCTTCCAGGGCAGGAGCGCTTCTGGATGATGAGCTGGCTGGGGCGGAGTTTATTTTTTAAATTAGGTGCATCTTATTGCCAGATGTGTCTTATAGAGCAAAAAATATGCCAATTTTTTGGGCATACTCCTGAATGCCGTGGTTTGTACTCTTGCAGGTGTCTGTACCCCAAATTGGGTATCACTGATACCAAATTGGGGATCACTGTACCCCAAATTGGGTATCACTTGTGCAAATGTGAGGAACTGGTTTTGACCTCTGTCATCAGGCCCCCGGCTGAGGTATCTGGTGGTCCTTTGACCAAGAGTCCAGCTTCATTTTTCTTCCTGTTTCCCCTGCATACACAGCAAACTGAACATTCAAACTACACATACACACTCCAACAACTCTTTGTTGCCATTTGAAATATTTGATGGGTTATTTTGTTTGTTTGTCCTCTTGCTTGCTTGCTTGCTTGTTTCTTTGCCTTTGTTCCTAAAGTTTGTATAGTAGTTTGCACAAAGGCGTTAATTTCATTCGTTAGTTAATTAAATATTTTATTAAATGCTATCTGTATCCCATCCAGTTAGAATTACTGTAAAACTATAAAAGTGATGCGGCATAGATGCTTGAACAGCAGAGGATCAGAACAACACATCAGCCGTCCTGCCGTGGTTTGTACTCTTGCAGGTGTCTGTACCCCAAATTGGGTATCACTGATACCAAATTGGGGATCACTGTACCCCAAATTGGGTATCACTTGTGCAAATGTGAGGAACTGGTTTTGACCTCTGTCATCAGGCCCCGGCTGAGGTATCTGGTGGTCCTTTGACCAAGAGTCCAGCTTCATTTTTCTTCCTGTTTCCCCTGCATACACAGCAAACTGAACATTCAAACTACACATACACACTCCAACAACTCTTTGTTGCCATTTGAAATATTTGATGGGTTATTTTGTTTGTTTGTCCTCTTGCTTGCTTGCTTGCTTGTTTCTTTGCCTTTGTTCCTAAAGTTTGTATAGTAGTTTTCACAAAGGCGTTAATTTCATTCGTTAGTTAATATTTTATTAAATGCTAACTGTATCCCATCCAGTTAGAATTACTGTAAAACTATAAAAGTGATGCAGCATAGATGCTTGAACAGCAGAGGATCTGAACAACACACCAATCGTCCCAGACAGCATAGAGAGACGTATTTACCATATTCAGGCCAGATACAAAATGTGAGAATTACGCGCGCCGTTAGAGAGAGACATTTTAGGCAAAGTGAAAAGACGAACTTTTAAGAGGTCAGCAAAAGGTCAAAGGCTGAACAAAATAAAATGGTCTTTGACGAGTGCCCCCCAAAAAACACCAAGTAGGCTCTCAAGGGGTCTTTCTCCATGTTCTTCATGGCACCACTGAAAAAGTTGTTTCCCCAGAAACCGTCTACCTTACCTCACAATACACGAAACATCCAGGGAACGTCCTTGGGGTAAAGTACCTCCTGGATGATCAGCTGCATGATTTGTTTATGTTTTTGAAAGATTAAAGGATCCTTTCTGATTTTCCCAGGAGCTAAAATTGCAAGCAGAGGAGGGCACCTGGAGAGGATTTTTGTTGTAGAGTTTCGTCCAGATTCAGACACCCAGTTTGTATCTGTGGGAGTGAAGCACATGAAATTCTGGACTCTGGCTGGAAGTGCTTTGCTGTATAAAAAGGGAGTCATTGGTTCTTTGGAAGATGCCAAAATGCAAACGATGCTTTCTGTGGCCTTTGGAGCTGTGAGTTCTTCTTCTTTTTGGATTTCTGAGATACAGATAATTGAAGTACACTATAAAGCTTTTTTTTACTTTAAAGTAGATTACATCAATTGCATATTAATTTATTGTAGTCTACAACAACAAGAAAGTCCTATGGCATCTTCATCCACACTATCTCTAATGTTTCCTCATTGGTTTAGCAACTTTTTTTTAAAAAGTTAGCCCTGTTGAATTGATTGGGTTAGTTGATTGATTGATTGATTGATTGCATATCAATTAGACATGAGCCTAACATAAGGGGGGAAATGGCATGTCCTATGCAACACTGTGTTGTCAGAATCAGCATACCTGTGTTGAATTCTCCATATATTGACCCGAACACACACAATGATTTCAGAAACTAAGGAGGGTCAGGCATAGTTAGTACTTGTGTAGTACATGGGCCACCAGATTATATCAGGGATCTCTATCAGGGCTAGGAAATAATCCTGCCCGCATTTCTGGTAAACCACTGCTGTCTGTTGGCATTGATAGTATGGAACTAGATTGACCAGTGGTCTCAATCAGGATAGGGTAGGTGCCTAACATGTAGGACATCCTTGTGTTATACATTTCTCTGCCCTTTCTAGCAGCACTCAATATGTGCTGCTAAGTGTTGAAGACTGAACTTTTTATAGGATCCCAAACTGCCATTCTTCGTGGAGAACATGTCTTCTGATCATCATTACCTCCTGTCAAGTACTGTGCTAGAGAAATGCAAATCAACCCAAAATGTAGTGCCAGTTGCATAACCTCTTGCATAAGCATGAGAACATTTATAGAAGCTATTTATTATAGCACAACATAAATTTTGTCCAAGCTCCTTTCACAAGTAGTTATGAACCAGCATCAGTGGAAGGAAATGGGCTGGAGCCCACGGTAGAGGCCAGTGCATGGTGTATGATTATTCCCTTGTATACTAAAATCATATGGGTTTGAAAGCAACAAAGCTCATATGATCTTACTCTAACTCTTACGCTTCTTGTTGTGTAATAGCTACATCTCCCAGAAGAGATCTTGCTGAATTAGAGGCAGGTGAAGTGGAACAGCAAAGTTCAGACATGCGAGGAGTGGTAGGAGCAAAATAAGCTTTTGTGATGTTAGATCTTATGTAGAGCAGTAGCATGAGTAAAGGAGGGTTAGAGCAGCAGAGATTATATAGGAGGTTAAAGTGAGAAGCAAAGATATGGCAAAGTTATAAGTTATAGAAAATAAGTTATATTTAATAACACACTTATTAAACATAAGTTATAGCGAAGTGATAACCCAGGCATGAGATATAGCCCAATGTTTGTAACCTCTGGATATCCTACCAAATGTTGATCCATAGTTTTAAAAAAATTGTTGGCAGAAAAAGAAAAGCACTATATCCTACCAAATGTTGATCCATAGTTTTTAAAAAATTGTTGTTCAGCAGGCCGAGGCAAAGAGGCAGTCCCAAAACCAGCAAAAACAGGGAGCTGGACAGGGGACAGATTGTATTTGTCTTCAGTGTGGAAGGGATTGTCACTCTCGAACTGGCCTTCTCAGCCACACTAGACGCTGTTCTAGACCCTGATGTTGGGAAGGGGATGACAGAAGACAAAATGGCTGGACAGTGTCACTGAATTTGACCCAACTCCAGGAAGCAGTGGAAGACAGGAGGGCCTGGCATGCTCTGGTCTATGGGGTCACAAAGAGTCGGACACGATTTAACGACTAAACAACAAACAACAACAAGTGAAACCCCACCCTCCACCCTTGTGCCGCATTGTGCAGCAACCAGAAGAAGATGACATTACTGTAAAGTGAAACATCCCCTGAAAATAAACCCTAATCCTAATGCATTTTTGGAGAAAAAATTAATATAAGACCCTGTCTTATTTTCGGGGAAACATGGTATATATTAAAAGTCCTTGCTGCTGGAGCATACTGACTTCTTCATGGAACCTGGCCACTGAGGAGGCATTAGCTTGCATAGCTTGGGTCTTGAGAAGCTAGCTATTGCAGATCAGACGACTTCATGCTGCAGCAACGAGCAGTTAGTTATATGAAGACAACAACAGAGCCTTATAATGAATGGTATTTACAAGGCAATTTATTGTTGCTTCTTTCAGAATAATCTTACCTTCACTGGTGCCATCAATGGAGATGTTTATGTCTGGAAGGATCATTTTTTAATTAGACTAGTGGCCAAAGCTCACACGGGTCCTGTCTTTACAATGTACACAACACTTCGTGATGGACTTATTGTTACTGGAGGAAAGGAGAGACCGTAAGAAATTATCATCTCTTTCTTTTCCCTCCCCTATAGTTGCCTGCAAAGTCATGCTGCTTCAGAGAAAAATTTAAGAAGTACCAGGGTCAATTCTTAATTCAGGCTGGATTAGGGAAGGAAATTATTTGCATGCTCTGCTAATTTGGGCAGTTCAAAAATAACGTGGCAGGGTTTCGTTCTTATGGATGGGGCAGTGGGAGGGAGACAGAGACCGACAGAATATGCAGTCACATGAACAAGAAAGCACACCCTCTTCTCCATTGTGTTATTGTTCATCTGAGGTTGCATTTACCTGATTTTCAGACCTGCTAAAGACCAGATTATTTTCATTATGTCCTGATATGTAAAACCATAAAATTCAAAGAGGGATGTGCTTTCTGTATTTGAATTCATGTTCTATTCAGTGATTTCAATGCTGTTGCTTCTGTTGTCAAAATGTGGCCATTCACAAGAGAGGAAATTTAATAGAGTCAGGTTAACCCTGAACTTTGCCGAAGTACTAAAAAAAGTCTCAAAAAAGAGACTTCAAGGAAAAACCCAGAACAACCCAAGGGAACTTACTGATCGTCTTCAGTGTCCTGTTGGTATCTGTTTCATGTGGGAGTTTTGCGTCTTGCAGGCCACACGAGACACACTACGTTCCCTGGCCTCTGCATCAACTTAAATGGGAAAAAGTCTTAAACCAATTGAGTGGAGGTGGAAGAGGAGGCTAGATGATAGGCCCTTAGGTGTATAATGTATACGTAGACTAAAACATCCCATCAGCTGTTTCCTTTGTCAGATGTTTCATTTGTATAAAACTGATACAGGTAAAGGTTCCCCTTGACACTTTTAGTCCAGTCGTGTCCGACTCTAGGAAGCGGTGCTCATCCTGTTTTTCAAGCCATAGAGCCAGCGTTTGTCCGAAGACAGTTTCCGTTGTCACGTGGCCAGCATGACTAGGGAATGCCGTTTTACCTTCCCACCGAGATGGTACCTATTTATCTACAGTACTTGCATTTACATGCTTTCGAATTGCTAGGTTGGCAAGGAGCTGGGACAAAGCGACGGGAGCTCCCTCCATCGCGTGGATTCGATCTTACGACTGCTGGTCTTCTGACCCTGTAGCACAGAGGCTTCTGTGGTTTAACCCGCAGCGCCACCACATGCCCTGATAGTTTCCCATAAACTGATAGCTTCCATAAAAATGTTGGTGGAAGCCAAGGTTTTCATAGTGGTTGGACTGGCCACTAGTATGTCTAACACACACTCCTCTTAAGAAGTGGAGAAGAGACCTGTAAGGTCTGAATGTGTTCACTGAGCAAAGAATGATTTGGATGGAAAAGACACAAGAAACAGGAGTGGAGTTGCATGGCTGGAACTAGAAACAAAAGCACTATATATTAATACCTAGTGGCAGAAAGCGGAATAGCAGCTTCCCATTCGTTTCTATGGACGAAAAGAGCAGATACAGATTAAATGGTTTTCGATGCATTCCTATGGGAAATGCAGATTCGACTTAAGAACTTTTCAACCTGAGAACTGCCTTCCAATACGGATTAAGTTCGTAAGTCAAGACCCCACTGTATGATCAAGAACTTTGGAAGCACCCAGATTCCCAAAATAGAAAGTAATCTTGCATCAACAGCAAGTCACACCCAGATAACACCTGGCTTTCTAGCTTTCTGTCCAAATTTAGACTCCTAAAGTATTCCAGCTGTTCCCTGTGCTCTTCACTCCTGAAGTGTGTCAAAGCTGCAGGAGTAATTAAGTGCCCAGCAGCTGTTGTTGCTGTTATGTCCCATCTGCTTGGTGGCAACCCTGTGCATTAATGATATCCCCAGAGCCCCTGTTCGGATCTTACAAACTCAATACTGTACTCTGACTTCCTTTATTGAGTTGATCTGTCCCATATTGGGCCTTCCTGCTTTTTCTACCATTATTGTCTTTTCAGTGAATCTTGTCTTCTCTTGGTATGTCTTGAGAGACTTCTAGATCATTAACCATATATCTGATATGTCCAAATAATGAAAAAAACACATATGTTACAGCATCACATATCTCCAGCATAGGTCACCTGCAGTTTATAAGGCTGGATATATATTCTGTGTCTGAATGTATTCTGTGTTGTTGTTGTTGTTGATCATTAACCATATATCTGATATGTCCAAATAATGAAAAAAAACAGATGTTACAGCATCACATATCTCCAGCATAGGTCACCTGCAGTTTATAAGGCTGGATATATATTCTGTGACTGAATGTATTCTGTGTTGTTGTTGTTTTTTTGTACTTTGTGTGGCTGTACCCATGGAGGCTCGTTCAATTTCACTGCACACATATTATGCATTGACAATAAAGGTTATTATTGCAGTTTATAAGGCTGGATATATATTCTGTGACTGAATGTATTCTGTGTTGTTGTTGTTTTTTTGTACTTTGTGTGGCTGTACCCATGGAGGCTCGTTCAATTTCACTGCACACATGTTATGCATTGACAATAAAGGTTATTATTGTTTTGCTGCCTGAAAGTATGTGATAAACATGCTTGAGTTAGTTGCCACTGATTTTTAGACATGCAGACGCTCTGCAGTCATGAATCAAAGCCTGTGATTGGACTTTAATGGGCTGATGGGCACTTGGGCGGGTGCAGTTCTGCTCCCAAACTGACATCCTGTATGCTTTCTTTTAGAACGAAAGAAGGAGGAGCTGTGAAACTCTGGGATCAAGAGATGAAGCGATGCAGAGCCTTTCAGCTTGAGACCGGACAGATTGTGGAGTGCGTGCGTTCCGTGTGCCGAGGGAAAGTATGTGAGATTTGCAGAAGCTTTGATACATAGGCCTATGCAATTGTGTTGGAAGGAGTTTTCCTGGCCGCATCTTTCCCACAGGAGCCTCTCCAGCCTATAGAAGACACTTCATAGGCAAAGACCTTGAAGATGTCATGGACTGCAACTCCCCAAATTTACCAGGAGTTCTTCCAAGCCAGAATTATGTTGCAGAGTTTTGAATTTTGGTTAAATTCTTTCTAAAGTGCAGGCATTCCCAGAGCAGAAAGAGCCGCTTTGGGTCCCTTTTTGGGAGAAATGCAGCATATAAATAAAACTAAGAAATAATTACAGTATTATAAATGTTTCTTTACTTACAGTTTAACAGATCATACAGCAAACTAAGCACAAACATGAGTGCTCTCAGCAGCAGGCTTCGTCAGATGGCTCAATGCCAACAGTCAACAGAGAGAGAAAAGAGACCCAGAGCATAGAGGTGGGGTTCTTTGAACTCAGAGGCAGGGAAGGAACAGGGGGTTTGTGCTGGATCGATTGACAGCCACCCCAGCCCAGAAACAGTGCTTCCTAGTCAAACCTGCACACCAGGCACCACACAAGGATGCAAAAAAACTCCAATAAATTCTGGGACCTGCAGCCAAAAAAATCTGAAAGTCCCAAGCCTAATGCTTCAGAGGTGGTTGGAGATCCTGCTAAGTGGGGTAAGCTGTAGGGGAGAAGGATGCTTCTCTGAAATAAAAAGAAAGCTTTGGTGAACAGAGTTCTGCCAGTATATATCCTGGATCCTGCCCAAGATATGTCTTGCCTATTGCTTTTCTCACAAGTCTTTTATTGGTAGCAATGCACATCAAAACATTATTTATTTATTTATTTATTTATTTATTTATTTATTTATTTATTTATTTATTTATTTATTTATTTATTTATTTAT